TATGAATATTAATAAACTTACTCTTTTCTAGCTTGTCTTTCTTTCAGCCTTCTCAGGTACATGTCAATAAGAGCARCTTTGAGGTCTAAAAAAATCGTATATTTAACATTTTAACTTGTAAGTAATAACAACATATTAAATAAATAAATTAAATAAAACTTAAATAACTCAAATATCTTAAATAACTTAAATATCTGAGCACCTGTTTCAAGATCATCATCATCTTTATTGAATTGAAGACCACTTATCAACGTTTCTGCATCATTATCATATTCCTAATAAAAAAGCAAATGCATCAATTTATAAACTCATGTACTACATTGTACAATAAATTAAAAAAATCCTAATAAAAATGATTGTAATGCTTTATTTACGTTCTCTTTATAGAGATATGGGTGGCTGATACAATATTAAAATACATTGTAACTGCTCATGTACCTTTTCAAAGTCATCTCTTAAGGGCATATAACCAAGTTCTGTTTGTTCTGCTGTACTCATCTCCACTTGCTCAGGTGGATGCAAAAGTGTAGGAGATAAAAGACCTTGTATTCACAAAGAATAATAGATAATAAATAAAAACAAACTAATATTAATTTATCATCAAAACATATTAAACTTATAATCATCAAATAAATGATAAATGAATAAATAATGCAATAAATGCTAAAAGTTTACAACAGTAGCTGGTACCCATAAAAAAAACACCAGACAAAAAAAGCTGTTTATTTTCCACTGAGATCCCTAAATGTCTCACCTCCTTCAGCTGCTGTATGATCAACAATTTTATCTTTGAATGGCTCTACACTTGCTGTTTCAAAGAACAAGTCAGAGTTTAGAGAACTTCACAAAAGAAAATATTGTTTGAACAGCTGTAGACATTTACATGTAACTGCATGTATAGAGTCTTTACATATATTTTGACTAGCAATATAAGACCTCTATAGACAGCCATCCCTCCCCTTTTAAGACCCTCAGCTGCTGTTAGACCATRGTTCTATGCCCCTGTGATAATTGATTACATTATTGATTACATTATATAGAACAAGTTAATATTGTGTGTTTGTTTACCAACCTTTGCCAATATTTCCATGAATGTAAACATCATTATAATGTTCTGCTGTTGCTAGAATAATCAAACCAAGAAGTTATCCTTGATATTCATACTATGTCCTTATTGRCTGAAGGCAAGTTGAGTTTTGAGAACRTTTTGAGAGGGRAAAAAGACRGAAAATAAACTTTTCTCTTTGTGATCGCCACCTWCRAACACAGCTATCGTCAATTTGAATGTGCTTTCCTGCTGCTCGATTTTCATGATCCATTATTTAATTAATATATTTGTATCAACAAACTAATGTACCTGCTGCRGTCTTAGTTCCAATGTGGTCTGCAATATCATCCCTAAAAGATAATTATAATTTATTATTGATAAATAGAATATGCATATCTGTTATAACCATAATTTGACTMAAAGAAGTTCATATTTACCAGTTTCCAAATCCATGTTGCTCTATYGCATCCAAAAGCAGAGTCTCTTCCTCTGCTGCCCATTCCTCRGAAAACAGTGGAAATGACCCTCCATCCTTGATGAAATACAAGACAAAAACACACTTTATGATTAAAGTAATAAAGATATCTTAATAAAATATATGGATCCCCCTCTCCCCCCTCTTACACTCCAAGAGGCCGTCACTTAAAATGACACTTTGACAGCTTATTTTTGTAAATTTTAAGTACTTTATTCAGGTCAAGCAAAACACGTCGGAACAAAAAGGTCATTGTATAGTTTTAACGACGCGACTCGAAAATAACTTTCTTGTCGCAAAAAGGTCACGTGACTTACGATTAATTGATATTTATGCTCTCGCTTATGTTCACCCATTTCGGCTCCACAACAGAAACACTGGAACAAAAAGAGCACCTCAATCGATTTGACACCTTAATCAAATTCTGCACGTGACAAAATTACCCATAAAATTTGACGGCGCTCACCTGTAAACACAGATCGAAGTCTGAGCACTCGGCGCAGCGCACGCGAAGCAGCGTACAATCTGATTGGCAGTAATTGCAATGATACTCTACGAAAACGAAGAAAAAATTTCATTAAATGTTATAAGAGTGCGCGAAAAATATCCCGCATCGAAGAAAGTTMAAAAAAGATYAAGATTTTTCGAAAAAATCGATAAAAAAATACCCACCGTTAGCCGCCATTTTCGTTTTTTTGTGATTGTTGATACTGCGCATGCCCACATGTAACTACTAACCTACCCATAATTCCAAGTTACGAAAGAGAATTTCGCCCTGATCAGTCCGTTGCTGCATAGTTAATATTAACTATGGTTGCTGCTATGAGTTCACTACTTGCCAGCTTATTGCAAAGCCTAGAGAAGTAGGAGCGTTTTACAGGTAACACGAAATTTAAACGATATTGTTCTTTGAAAAGCTTTTGAAAGGTGAAAGATCTATAAATTTCAATTATGCAAATTAAGGCTCAAAAACAAAGAAACAAAGATAAATTAAGACACTAAAAGTGTTGTGTGCAACATAAATAGCACTAAATACTGCTAAATTATGATAGTTCTATTGTTTAATTAGCACTATTTTGTAGTAAATAGTGTAATTAAGTATTGCATGCTTTTAGTGTTTGTTCTCTAGCTCAAGTAAGCTTATTTTATTTTGCCCATTATTTTCCTCTTTTCTCAACAGCCATTTTGAATCATGACATCAACTGCTTTTGACCGCTGGAGTGACCAAGGTATCAGAACCCTAAGCATTGGTGCCCCAGATAAAACCTTGCTAAAAKCTTGCTTTGACATCATTTCTCTTGCTACCAAAACGCTCTATGAGAGTGGAGACACGGGTTGCTTGCAGTATGGCCCAGACCTAGGAGACAGACAWGCTTTAGAAGAACTCGCCAAGTTCTTAACATTTGAACAAAAAGATGAGGTTCACGTGGACAAGCTTATGTTCACAGCTGGGGCATCACAAGGTCTTAAATTTTTGGTGACTACGTTATTTGCCAAGGGKGATTTGGCCATAGTTGAAGACCCGTCATACTTCATTGCAATAAGAGCTTTTAAGAACGACGTAAATCTGAATGTTTTCCCTGTAGCATCCTGTGAAGATGGGGTTGACGTTGATCAGTTAGACAACATTCTTACAAAGCACATTGATAAAGATAAGATGCTTGCAGCCAAAAAGAAGTACTGGGCTCTGGTGTACATAATTCCAACCTTTAACAATCCACAAGGGACGTGTCTTACTGARGAAAAGAGCAARAAGCTGATAAAAGTGCTGCGTAAACACAAAGCTTTGGCCATATGTGATGATGTTTACAATCTCTGCTACTTCATGGATGATAAGCCTCCCTTTACAACTCCTCCACCAAAGAGACTCATTGCATTTGACAAAGAAAGCGATRAAGACTATCAAGGCAGTGTCATTTCCAATGGAAGTTTTTCCAAGATCATGGGTCCTGGATTAAGACTGGGTTGGATTGAGGCACCAAAGCACGTTCTTACCATGTTCAACAATGTAGCATTTCTCAGAAGCGGAGGCTGTTTCAATCATTATGCTTCTTGTGTTATGCGAGAAGCAATAAAACTAGGCCTCATTTCTAAACACCTTACTATGTTAAGAGAAGTGTATCACTCAAGGATGACTGCCATGTGTGATGCTATTGACAAATTTCTCCCCTCAGCCAAGTACATAAGGCCAAAGGGAGGTTATTTTGTATGGCTGACCTTTCCTGAACATGCCAACATAGAAAAAGTCAGTGAATTWTGTAAGGTTAAGTACAAAGTGTCCGTACCAGCTGGTAGACAGTTTTCATCTGCTGGAAACTTYCCCAACTGTACGAGGTTAAGTTTTGCATATTTTCCKGAGCAAATATTAGTAGATTGCATTGAAAAGCTTGGTTTGGCCTTTGATGAAGTTACAAAAAATTAATAAGTAAGAATGTTAAATCCCAGGTAATAATAACTGTCAGATATTATAAGGATGTTTTTGTAATCAAATAATCATTGAAATAACATTCTTAATAAAGACAATGTATGACTAGAGCAGCAGAAGAGTGTAAATATCAATAGCTGTTGTTTTCTGTGCATGCACAGTAAATTCTTATTGTAATATATATTTAAGTGTTATAAATTGCCAATAAAAAGTAGTTCATGGATAATGTTGACTATGCTTAAAATTCCTAGACAGGTAGGAATAGATAGCCTTGTTGCTAGGATAGAAAACAATAGAACAAACAATAAATGTACATGTACAATAGATACAATACAATCTTAAAATCTTGTCTTTGTTTTACTCAAAAAAACARTGAATATTACAGTGACAAAATATGACTCTAAAAGTTCAAAAATTCAACACTAAAGTAATTTACAGTTATTATTAAATCAGATGTTTCTTATTTCTTCTTCATCATTCCTAGAGCCATTTGACCAACAGAAAAGAAAGTAAAAGACAGTCCAAGTAGTGTTAGAGCCATGGCACCCCTGTATAACATGACATCTTTAGGGCCTTTTCCTACATAGATAGGGGACTGAGTAGCCTGAAACGATAAGCATAACTTCAGTGAAATCAAGGAACATGGAAACTTACATGAAATCTGACATTTCAAGCTATTAAATTAAATAGTAAAACACTGAAGTGTAACATCATAAAAATTGTGGGAGTTGTTGTCATATTTTGAAAGAACATGACAGAGTAAAAATGTCAAGGACATCTTTTACCAGAGCCAACTATCTTGGAGCATTCTGAGTTTWGCCCCTGCCACTTGTCTCCAATTTGCGATTGTATTAAAGGATTAAAGAATCAATTGGGATGATTGTTGATAGTGAATCAAGAGGATAGTCGATCAGGAGGGTAGTCAAATCTGGGATAGTTGATTGTAATCTCGTTGTGCCTAAATTAGAATCTCCAACAGATTATTGTCCCACTTAGCCATTTCTCATTTCAGTCATAGTCTATCTTTTTTGGCGGCATTTTGATTTGTAGCAAAACTCACAAGGATTCCTCTTACTCTATAAAGTTAGTATTTGATATCAAGTGTAAAACGATCCAGTGGGATATCTGGGATTGTTTTGAATCTGAAAACAGCTGTAGGAAGACTACAATGTAGCTACATTGTGAACTTAACAGTATATTCACAACCAATGGATAAGCAATTTGATTGGCTAAAGCATTAAGGATATTAGCTCATATCCTGTATGTGGAGAAACAATTCCCAGTCCTCTTCATTTGAATACATTCTTTACTGATAAAAATTCACTGATTGTAAATCTTATAAACAATTAAGCTTAAGTGAAATAACCAAATAAGCTAAAGCTTACCTGAAACAGTTTTTGACTTTTTACAATTCTACTTAGGGAATCAAGAGTCCCTCCTTTTCCAGTTGATACAGGGTCCATGGCTTGTGCTGATCCCGTAGGTTTTGCTGTACTAAAACCCTACAATGATTTAAAGTTTACCAGTAAAACTTTAAAAATAAAATTTGAGTCCCAGTAATGAAGGGATGTTTTTGCCACATAATATCTTTAGTTTATTCAATATATACCTGAGGTTGATATGTTGCTTGAGCTTCCGAAGTTGCTAAYTTTCCTGTAAATGTATTATGTTTATAAAACATGGAGTATAATTTTAATAAACGGACAACAAACTCCGGCAAAAACACACGAAGAACAAAATGGCGACTAGAACTATCAGGCCGGCTCGCAAAGGATAATGGATGATTTACACAGGATTCCCGGTTCTCCTACTATACCACGAATTTTTTTGACCTCATGATGATAAGTGAAATTTCGTAGCTAAGAAATAATAAAGACAATAAAGAACAGACTAAATTTGAAAATACAAATAAAATATATTTGATTTAATTTACTTACAAGAATAGCTAAAAWTGATAAATTATGATATAGCAGGAGGGCTCCTGGATGTAGATAGAGGACATAATAAATGAAAATTGAAAAAGCTTTAGATACAGCACATAAAAGAAAYAGGGAATTGCAGAGTGTATTTTTATTAATGAATCAATAATTTATTAGAAACCGCAGGGGGTCATGGGTAAATTGAACAATTTGTTCCCAGTCTTCCTTCTAGAGAGGGGCGGATTTTCAAGATGGCGATTATGGACTTATAATTTATAAGTGAATCCATGCAACAGGATCCTTTTATTTCATATTTGTTATGTTAGACAGACGAAACAATTTAAGGAAGCCATGATCAATTATGGAAACGGGGGAAGATGTCTTAGCTCATGATCTTTGTGCGCAAGAGCTTCATTTGAATGAATTGAGCCAGAACGATGTCGGCGAAGAACARGACACGTTGGATACGACAAGTTCAAGTTTCTGCTCGTCTTCACCTCCGGGCAGAGACGGGTCAGCTTCTAAGCGAGAACGAAAAGTCTCCTTTCCTGATGATAGCTGTTTAGTTCGTAGCGTGGAACCTTTTGATCCTTGGAAGGACGGTGAGTCAACCGTGCTGCGAGAGAAGAATATTTCGAGCACTTCTTCTGAGAATTCCTATAAGCAGAATTGTTTTTTTAAACTTGTGATTGCGCTCTTCTATATTTTATTACGTTTCGTTTTATCCTTTTAAAAGTAAGTGCATCACTCCAGTACCTCTATTCAATTGGGTTTCGTTTTCATATCAATTTAGCTCAGCATAAAATAAAGAAAAACAAACTGCAACTTGCTTCCTGAATGAATTAACAACGTTATAACAGTAATTMTTATGTAAAACACTGACTTCTTTCCGACGGTTTTTAAGCTTCTAATGAATCATTCCCTTCATCTAGCGCTAGCCAGTAATGCAGTTTAATGATATGTCTAATAGCTACAAATTGGCTTCCTTGTTAGCGAGMTGTCCGTTTTGTCTTCGAGAAAGTTCGCAAAGGAATTGAGAGCTGATCCTTTACCTTTATTGTTTTGATTTATTTTTACAATAAAAACAGYACACTTTYTTCTTTCGAMCTGCCAATTYTCATTTCCGAATGCTCTCATTATTTAAGATTGTTGTTGGACRAGTGAAGGATTTTCCACAGCTTATGTAGTGCAAAGAATGTGCCTMTTTGCCATTACAAGCTAAGTGGAATTCGAAATCCTGGGGCAGTTTGGATATGTTGATAAGAAGCCCATCGGTGAGATTTTAAAAGTTGAAAGGATGCCCTGCAGAAAAAAAATCATTTTGCTCAAAAAAACAATTTTCAGCACTATTAAAATTGACATAAATAGTCTTTACGGGTACTGTTTGTGTAATTGAATTAAACTTTAATTTAATCGAATTTTTATGATATTCAGGACACARCAGTGTTTAGTTTTTTTCTATCATACATGGGATGAGGGTCTTTCTTTAGTCGAAATAATATGCATTTAGYAATAATTGAATTTGAAAATGTAGATTTAAATTATACAAAAGAAAATGTTGATCAGAATTTCAAATCATAGACATTGACTTCACTAATACATGATTACTTTTATGTGAACCAATAGGCCTTGAAAGCTCACTAATACTTCAAAAGCAGTGAAGTGCACTTTGAGTGATATAAGGGTTGTTTTTATCTCTTAGAAGGTCCATATACAATGCAAAATATTTATTTGTGAAGACTAATTACAATTTGTTTACTTTTTTGCTATGGTATATTCATCAATTTAAATTCATCTTTTAAGGATGTAATGCTGTTTTTGTTTTCTTCTCAGCTGGAAACTGTACAAGTAAAGAAGTAATTGATGCATATCGCAAAATCTGTACTCAATTGAAAGTCAAACCTTGCGAAAAACTCATCAAACAACTTGAGGTAGGAGGAGTAATGTGTATTGTTATGTATTCAATTGAAGTGTAAGTACTTGTTCTACCAATATATGTACTTTGAATTCAATGTATTTGAAAACAGTCCCTTGTGATTAGTACTGACTTTGAAGAATAGTCAGAAACCTTGAATAAAACATGTTCATTTTGATAAATTTAATAAATTAGAAGAGTTATTCTTCTCTATTCTCTGTTTTGTATTATTTATTAACATTAGTTATAACTATTATTGTTATTATTAAGCCTAAATAATGTAAGCCCTTAAATGGAACAGTATTTAGTAAATTTGTACAAAAATGTACTTTCAAATAATGTAATATTATGCATACCAAAAATAACTCCTCTTAGCTATTTTACTTCCCTCAATATTGGAACGTAAACATAAACAATATCATATTCATTTACTGTTGTTATTCATCATAAATTGGTTCATTTTCTCAGTCTGTTGAACTCTGAGGTTCTTTGCTTGCTCTATTATTCATTGGTCATGACCACATTTTAAAATCCAAGTCTTGTCGAGACACAATCTAGATTCTAGTACTTTGGCTATCAGTGTTGGAGGTCTGACAACTATTTTTAGGTTGACCTTTATTACATTGTCAAAAGGGTAGGTAACACTAAAAGTTTAATTTATAAATGTAAATTTTTCAAACATTAGTTCAAGACAAAGTGTCGGGTTGTACATTGTATAGAAAAGGTGTTGACCAAGATGTTCAGGTGTTTGACATTTAGTCTGTTATTTGAGTACATGATTACCTATAATGTAAGATAACAATTCACATTTAGACAAAAAGGTTTCACTAATGACAAGGAAAGGCAATATTTTTTTGAAAACCAATARTCTAATAAATCTAAATATAAAATGATATTGTGTTACTTGACAATTATATAGACTTCAGATGTGATATCTGATCGTTTTTTTTTTCCTACTTATGTGCTATAATGTATTCTTTTCATAATTCCCAATTATTCATTTATCCATACCTCCCTCCTTCCTTCTTGTGGCTTTTCATCCTTGACAGATTCCTTCCTTCCTTTCTTTGTTTCCTCATTCCTATATTTATTCATTCATTCATTTGTAAATCCCTGCATTCATACTTTATTTGTGTTACCCCCTTTCTCTTCCATCGTGTGCCATTCTATCTTTGATAGATTCCTTCCTTTCTTTGTTCGTTCGTTTCTATATTTATCATTCTCTCCATTCATTCATCAGTTAATCTGTCYATTCATACTTTAGTTATATACTGCTTATTTTGTCTCTCTTTTATCCCWAATATACTTACCTTCTTTCAAACATTTTGTCAATTTCCAATGTTTTTAATAAAGATAATTTGTGTTAGAGTAAACACACTTAATCCTTGAGACAAAAATAGTTTGATGTGGGTGGATGTGCGTCCACTCTAGTACTAAATATTCTTGCCTTTTAACTTTGTTTTCTTTTATCTTTGAAAGGCCTGTGAGAACTTCAGTGAGCGTATCAATGTGATAGACTTAAGAGGTAGGCAGAACTGATGTTACATTAATTATACCTCAGGAAAGATTTTAGAGACATGCAGGGCCCAACATATTAAAGTTGATTTTTGATTGATCCTAGGTATAAAGCTGGATCTAAAGAGCTGTGAAACTTTGGAGGAAGTACTGAGAAAAGTGCGAACAAAAACACTTGATCTTGAAAACACAAATTTAGAAGATGAGGTTTGTATTGATGTTGAATAATGTCAGAATTTATTGAATAAGATTTCTGATTAAAGAGCTTCATAGTTTGAATAATAATTGTCTTTTTTTTAGGGAACTTTATCTATTCTCGAAATGGTGGAGTTTTACCACAGTGCTTGTAAATTAAACTTAGCATACAATAACAAGATAAGAGTGAGAGGATGGCAAGCTTTGGGAAGAACATTAAAAAGGGTAAGACATTTACTGTGTGCACCATATTGTTGTTTTTAATCCAGAGTTTTAATTGTCATAGCTTTGGGGAAGAACATTAAAAAGGGTAAGACATTTACTGTGTGCATCTTATTGTTGTTTTTAATCCAGAGTTTTAACATTAGTACCAGAAACAAGCAAAGTACGACTCACAAGCTTGTTACTCACAAATTCATGGAATGAGTTGCCTTTGTTAACTTGAGAGGTGTAGATAATGAATTATTTATAAAGTGGCACTCACTAAGAACAAAATGAGTGGTGTAACTACCAAGTGTAATAAGTCAATTAAAAAAAAAACTAACAGAGGCTATGAAAAGTAAAAGTTATATCTTTAGTAGTGATTTCTTCAGTAATATTCATATGCTAACCGTAATTTGCATTGCTACATAGCTGATCCAGATAAAATTTCACATCTGCAATTAGCAATAGATTRCATGTCAATCAACCTAAGAGCTTTGGCACCAACTGCTAGTTTGTCTGACAATTTTGATTGATGGCAGTGCTATATTGCTAATGTCATGATGTAAATTTGTCTAGGTTTGTTGCAGTATGGTCCTGGCCTCTCTTTCTCCAGTTCCAGGACTTACTGGGAAAGGAAGTCCAGTAAACTTGCAAGCGCATGTTAAGCTAGTGTGTGCTGAAAATAGAAACTTGCTCATACAMCAAAGCAAGCATKCAATCACATATATTTGATATGGCAAGAAAATGCTGCAGATAAATGTAGAGTAGCAATAAAAAATATGTTATCATAGGATAAGTTACATGTGTAAATAATTTATGAGTTATAGTTTCAGTAATAGCAATTTATTCAGTGTGGAGTATTTTTTGTCTTTTGTTTTAGACACCATGCTTGGAATACTTAGATGTTCGTCATACTGTATGGACGGAGCATTCAATTCCATTACTAGGGAGGTCTCTGAGACTYAATTGCCCTCTTACTATCCTGCACATGGAGGCAACAAATCTCTCAGGAAGACCTTTATTTTTACTTGGTATGTTTTCATTTGTGTCATAAATAAAATTGTTTAAATGTAAAAACAAAAAAGGCTCAAAAGTATATAGCATTATTACATGAATAATTGTGTATAATCTAATATTTTGATTATTAAATCAAATTAAACTCAATTGCCAGTAAAATGTTTATTTGATGAGTAAAAAAATAGACGATTGAATACTGTATGCTGATTGGCTAGTATTATTGAACTGAAGTGTGTTTTTTAAGAATTATTTTCATTTGCTTAGCTGTCAGACTGCTCGTCTATCCTCAGACTCAGGACAGACAAGCAGTCTGAAACTCCTTAATAAAATTTACATGCTCAAAAACATAGTGTTGAAATGTTAGCCATGTTGCAGGGACTCTTGAATTTGATATTTCCTTGTAGTTGTCTTAGAGATATAAATAACATAGAGCTAGCTCTACAAATTATTAAGAATTATTTTAAACAACATGTTTTCAACACCATTTTCTCCAGCTAATGCCGTAAAGGCAAACCAAGTATTAAAGGACTTGTTCTTGGGCGACAACAGGCTGGTTCCTTCTGATGGCCAGTGCCTTGGTGCCATGTTGAAAACCAACACAACGCTGAGGCTGTTAGATTTACGGAATAATACCTTACAGGTTAGTAAGAAAGAAAGAAAGAAAAAGAAAAGAAAAAAAAAGAAAAGAAGAAAAAAAAGAAAAGAAAGCACTCATTTAGGATACCTTTTATTTTGCCTTTTGGGATCCCTTTGGTAAAGAAGACAGGAAGCCCAAGAGTAGAACGAGAGCAGATAGAGACGTGAAAGGCCTTTGTAGTAATTATATGTAGGATAATTTACCAATGATAACATCCAATGGTTTAAATGAAGTTTTTCTTCTAGTTTTGCTTTATTTGTGTGTTTCTTTGCTGTAGGATATGGGACTAGGTCATATATGTGAGGGTCTCGCCGAGCAAGTAGGAGACGGGTTACAGACTCTTGTCCTRTGGAATAACCAGTTGACTTTTCAAGGCATGGGTAACCTGTCTAAAGCACTGGTAATCTCTTGTTGTCAATGTATTCAATAAATATTTAATCAAACCATTATCAATCAAACAATCAACAAAAATCGATCAGTCAGTCGATCATTTTGCAAGGAATTGGATGTAATATAGTAGCAAAACAACATTATATATATTCCTTTATTTGAATAATACCCTTCACAGATTTGTGGTTTTGCTCCTGTTAATTCTTTCATAGTTATGATAGAAATATTACATTGTGACAAACACTAGTACATTATTATTTTTTCTCTTTTTCTCTCTGTACATTTTGTCTCATTTTATGATGTGTTAACTATATTATTTTTTTGCAACTGTTTCATCAAGAAATACCATATGGTATAACACAAGTTGTGACGAAAATTATAAACCTACACTTACTCTCCATTTTTAGGTTTCAGTTAAAAGCTTACAGACGTTAAATCTTGGTCACAATCGACTGACAAATGAAGGSATTCATCATCTTAAGGACGGGTTGTTATTGAATAAATCTCTTCAACGACTAGGGCTGCTCAATACTAGGCTTTCTAGTGAAGGTAAAACAGATTCTTTAAGATGCTTTTTTTACCAAATTTTATCATTTGGATACCACAGTTTGTGAATTCCTTCTCTCACAACAATTCACGGTACCCCATACTCACGTTCAGTTACCACGAACAAAGCATTGAACCGAGGCCTCAAGGTACAGTGAACATAAAAGAAGAGATCTTTGCTCAGTGTTCCTTGACGCCTCGATTCAATGTTTTGTTCATGGTAACTGAACGTGAGTATGGGATACCGTGAATTGAGTCTGATTACCCAGCATGATGATGATGATGATGATGATGATGATGATGATGATGATGATGATGATGATGATGATAATGTAGCTGTTGATGATGATGAATGTTATGATGCTGATGCTGATGATGAAGGTGATGATGATGATGAAGATGATGATGACGATGATGTTGATGATAATGATGATCGTGCCTGAAATGTCATACAATTTTTTACCAGACCATAAAATATGACCCCAATGCAATCTCTTATTGCCTTCAGGGATTATAGCTTTAGCAGAGGTCATTGCAGACAGCACAATCCTGCTGCGTTTAGATATTCGTGAGAATGATCCGTATGTCGGAGGTTTAATGGCGCTGTCGTTGGCCTTAAAGATGAATTACAGTTTGGTTCGCATTGATTTGGATAAAGAGCTCAAAAAGGAACCGGTAAGTGCTGTCACGTATATGTTTTGCGTGACTAACTTACGTGACTAGCGAATTGTGTTACTAACGTAATTGTTTGTTCTGATTTTTAGGGAATGGAAACTACTCAACGATGTCTATTGGCTGATATTTATGGATTYTGTCAAAGGAATAAAAATTTGATCGAAAACAAAGATTCAAATACGGCTGCACAAAAAACTCCAGACGTCCCGAAAAGTGTCMCACCAAAAGTCACGCCATCTGCTTCAAAAACTGACAGCAATATAGAAAACACCGACTGTTCACCTTCGGAAACTGAACCTAAATCTGATAATCTTCTACAAATAGAACCTGCACAACAAAAATCTMGATTTGATTTAAAAAATTTCACTGGATTCTCTTTTCCTACCTCGCGTTTTAGAATTACTAGGATATTTGAATCAGGGAATTCAACTGAAGCAACTCCAACTTCGGAATCTTCACCGAGTATTTCAACTGATTTTTCAASTCCTCAGACGTCCGAAACACAAGAAGATTTGTTAATAAGTTGTGACGATAGCAGCAGTTCAGAAGGGGAGGGGCTCCTCGTGGATATAGATTCAGAGCCCAGTCCTTCTCTGGATATTGCTAACGAGCTAGAGAAACTAGATCTGGACGTGTTTGAATCTGACTCGTCTTCGTCTCAAGACACTGACTGGGAGGGTCGAGTGGATAATTATGCATGTGGAAGTAGGGAGAGTGTAGATTCGATGGGAACCCCTATCGCTCGTTCAGAACTTGATACAGGTGAGAGTWACAGGAACTGTTAAGGGAGTGTTGTTTGCCTTGTAGTTGTGATATCTTGGCCGTTGTGCAAAGGTCATAGACACGTTCTGATGAAGTAGATTGAAAGGGTGCATGGGGTAATTTAACATGCGTCTTTCTGAAGACTGAATATTCATATTTGTCTTTTCGCCAGGATACAGCCTTTTGCAAAAATTATGAGAATTGTATAAATATCTAAATATCATAATATCCATATCCATATATTGTCCGGAACACGCGGGTTTGCTAGAATAATTCATTGTTGACATACGAGAAAATGTTCAGAACTACGGATAAGTCCGTCGCCAAAAAAAAACTAAACTACAAAGACAAGGGAGTAAGGGCATCGCGCGGGATTACCCATCATGCACTCGATATTATGATATTTAGATATTTCAACAATTCTCATAATTTTTGCAAAAGGCTGTAACAAACCATATTTTATAAGTATTTTCCATGTTTTGTTTATGTTCAATCGTTGAAATACATAATCCATGATCCTTGCCGATCTAGTCCGTATAATATTATAGTTACTGTGAAGGGTTAGTCGTTGTAGGGAGGTGGTCGTTGTGGAGAGGTGGTTGGTGTTAATCTTTAGTGTCAGTTTCTTTGTCAGGTTAGGTTTTATGTGAATTGATTTTTTTGCAGATAAAGAGCACAAGACTCACTTTTACGAGAGTGAGCTGGATGCCTTGTTGTCCAATAGTCGCTATGAAGCAGCAGGACTGATCAATAAACACCAGAACGATGATGGTATGAAAACAGTTTTTTGGTTGAATTTATAGACTATTTTTAGCTTTTTCAAACAACAAGCAACCAAACAAAATCTCTACCAACACTAACTTTGGGTACTGAACGCTGTGTTAAATGCATTGTTGTTATGGGTTTTTTTCCGGGGGGGGGGGGGGGGGGGGGATGGGTCTCGAGCTTTTGCTGTTGCAATAAGGTATATCTTGCCTGTGAGTTTTGGCGGATGCAAATTGAGTATAAAAACTGGTTGCGCCAAAGCCTTTCCACAGTCGTGAGTCAGACGACATTAATTCAAGTCAACAAGTACACTTAATACTCGTTAAGTTTACCGCTCACTCTAGTTTACCGCAAGTTTCCACAGGTTTAGGATAGTATACGTAATTTGTAATAAAAAGTCTGAAAGAACACACCTTTATTTTTTCTTTAGACTTTTGGATGCAAGATTTTGACACGATGAACTCTCTAAACACTGCGTCTCCCTCCAATACTTCAAAAGTAGATCCTCCAACAGCAGATTTACTTGGCTCCTAGTATACTGCCTGACAAGCGGCAATAATCAAAGCAGAAAGCGCCACAAGTCCTAGCYCGATTCGAGACGGCTAGCTTATCGTGGAAAACTGRCAGAGAGCTWGATAAAAGTACGGAAAAATCGCATTCGATATGCGATAAATCGCTTTAAGGCCAGTATSGGTGATGGTTGCATGTCGATAGARATGCAAGAGCATAGTTATCGATAATTTTGGCTTCTTTTCTCTCCAAATGAAGCCAAGAAATGCTCAAAACGATGAGCARATGCTCAAAATTTTAAATARTCTGAAATTTGCGTTTAAGTAATTAAGTATAGAGAAGTAATACAATGAAAAGGGTGCAGTAATTGTTATGATTCTTATTGAACTCGGTTTCCTTTTGGCGTACTTGGATGTGTACGCGCCCGCGTTTACTTTCAGTTGGCGGGAAAAATAGGAAAGGCTTTTGTAGATATTTCGAGGTGGCGTAGAAGCCGCAGGGTATTAGCTAATTATTTCAACAGAAAAGTTTATTATAAACATAATTAAATAATTGTTACCGTGCATGGGAAACTGGGCAAAAATCCAGTAAAATTTACCGTGTTAAACATTTGTATTAAGCTACAAAATGTATGATTACTTTATAAAAAATTGCCATTTGTAATTTTACAGAACAAATTCATAAATGAGTTTTTCCAAAGTTTTTAACACTGCTCATAGTGAGCTCAATAATAAGAAATTCCAAGCAGTCATTTTTTTATCYTTAATGTTTTTCAGTTAMCACAGAAAACTGAGATCAAATCTGAATGTAGTGTGCATGATTTAAAGTCAGTCATAAAGATTTGCATGAAAATGCTAACTTTTAAAAGACTTGTTTTGAAACTTAAATATTCATAAGAATTTCAAAACTTGAATTACAAGAAACTTAAATTACAAGAGAAATTCAAGCTGATAGGATTTTCGAAAAGAGTATTACAAATGGAGACGAATTTTTTCCATTTTCTAAAAAAAAATATTCTCGCGCTCTAAACAAAAATTTGTCCGCGGAATCCAAAGACTCCTTGTCGACTATTAAATTGTCATTTCAAGGGCTTTTGTTCACGAAATATATAAGTAAGCTTTATTAACTGACCTTAGAATTACTTTGTTTCGTTTGTTAGTTATTGCTTTTGATTTATTTTCTTCTGCCGTGTTTGTCGTGCTYCCTGGATGTTTTATAAACATTCTAATCAAWATTATTCAAGATGGCTGCCACTGAATGGCCGCCATTTTGAAATCTTTACTGAGCAGGAAGAAATCATAAATTATTAGGTATTCTATAATTATTCTATATAATTATGATTATTATTAGTTATTGCATAATTATTATAATAATACCGCGCGAAAAATGTTATGCAATGTTGAAGGCTCCCGGGGTTGAAGGTTGAGAAATAAAATGATTTATACAGAATGGCTAGTTATCTCAAGTTAATTTGAAGCCATTGTTGAAATGTTTTTCTTGTTCACGAGTAAGTAAGACAGCACAAGTTGGCACATATTGCACTTTTATTAAAAAACCCTTATACCCATTTATTCAAGAGAACTTTATGTCGATTTGAGATGCGTCTTGAAGCAGTTTTTTTAAAGATTTTCATCAGATATAATGGAAGTGTATCAGAGAACAGGTGTCTAGTGATAAGTGACATTCATTAGTGTTTAGTTGTATTWAAGATATCCCGCAAAGACGCACCTTGTCGACGGYAAGGAAAATTACAATTTTTCTTTTAGTCACCTTAAAACTTAATATAAATAAAATTCTTGGTGTTTCCAGCCACCAAATCAATTTGTTTACTAATAATCCCCTACTCGYGCACGATTGTCATTTAAWATCCTTTTTCGTTCAAAGGGGGAACGGACTTCCCTCTTCATTATTGGCTATTTACAAAATGCATGGTCGCCACTTGCTCATTTTTTGTGRCTTAGCTCACGAAGCTGAAGGCGAAATGTCAAACTCATCACTTGTCGATCAAGTATGRTAAGCGCGTGTCAAGACGCGACGTCTAGTTTACATTTACTATATAATAATATTGTTCGTTTTTACTGCTTTCCCATGATCGAAATTCAAAAGATAGCGGACCAGTGGCCATGTTGGAGTAATGAACAATAGATACTAATGAGAAATCCTTTGTTAAAGTTCCGAGAAGTTCCTCCAAGATGACCGCTGTGTGACATATAGTGAAAACGAAGAATAGCAATAGGAATGAATTAAATCTTTGTGTTGAGGAACTAACGTAATGGCACTATTCTGTATATCGCGGTTTTTGTGAGGCAAGCATTGACATTCTGAATTTGAAGAAATTTAAATATAGCAAGTMTTGAAAAGGCTGTATAGCTGAAAATGAAAATCTGAAAATCAAAGAATGAAAATGTCACGATCGAAAATGACCTGCTCAGGTTGCAAAAGTGTAAACTGATAATTGCACTTGTCGGTTAACATCGCTTACAGCTGTTGACCCAGGCCGGATGGATCCATTCACAAATTTCTTAGGGAAGTTAATAATTTTTTACACATTTGAGAATGCATCACATTTTAAAAAACCTAGAAAACCTTTCAGCTTGACAGCTTTCTTAAGGGCTGCCATGTTAGGCCTAGTTTCTGAATCGCCCCATAACACGTTTTTTTGTTATATTCAAGGAAATAAACTACAATGCAAAACGCATTTTGGGGAGATTATTAAGGCACTATACAATGTAACATGTTGGTACCACTCAGGTATCACGTGCCTGAGTTATCTTCAGATGACTCCCCTAGTCTTTTATAAGTGTTTTTACTGCTTCCAGTTGGCTTCACAGCCTCACGAACCATATCTCCCTTTAATGGGGTCCAGTCCGTCTCTTCATCCTTGAGAAACGGTTGATGACACGAGAACAACATGCCGGGATGGTCATCCGGGACTTTAGCACACAGTTCAAGAATCAGGATCAAGAAGGAGATCCCAATCACGAAGAAAAGCACGCTACATACTTTGTAGAGTGCCCTATAGTTGCTCTTTTGCCAGACCGGGTCATCACCCGGTACAAAATCCCCGAGACCTATCGTTGTCAAGGAGATGAAGCAAAAATAAAACGCTTCGAAGTATGACCAGTTCTCTAGTTGCATGAACAAAATGGCAGGAAGAAACATTACCAAGAACAAAATCACTAACATCATAAGGGAAAGGTGGAACATGCGCAGATAGCCTACTGGGACACCCCGTACTGCGCATGACCGACTAAGGCGTTCTTGAATGGCTTCAGCGACTAGAAGAAGTCTCTCTACAATGGCTGTAAGCATAATGGCCGTCATTGGAATACCAAATAAAGCGTAGACAATACAGAAAATTTTACCACCGCTTGAAAGAGGAGCGATGTTTCCATAACCTAAAACATAATAAAATATTTAGTTTTTTCTTCTCGATAATTTGTAAGTGAATTATTGCGACGCGAGGTCATCGAAATTTGGTTATAGTATCCGAGGTGCTTAAACACACGTCGAACATTAACACCTTCTGTATAGTTAAATAACTGAACAGAGATTGATTGACAGGTCAAAWATTTTTGATTAAACCTACTACTCAAAACGCTGTAAAAAATGAGCACATGTACGTTGATAAGAGCAGTACACGAGCAACATTCATTGAAGAAATTATGTGGCAATAGTCATGTTGTTTAGATCTATAATTAGGTTAATGTCATATAGATGATTAATGATGAATGATTACTAGTGACTATGACGTATTGATGTAGCATTAAAAATGCTTGTCACATAAAGCGCC